TGGTCATCAGCTTCCTGCAAACCCCAGCTGGTGCTACCTTCTATACTGGCCCTCTTGCCACCCTGTGTCCCCACACTCCCTGTCATCACTACCAGGGGTGTTGGACAAGAGGTGCAAGAGAAGCCCCCTGTCCAGCTCAATCTCAATCAGATACATGACAGCAAGGCAACATTCACCAGAGACCATCCAGATCTCCTCTCTCAGTCCAGGGAGAATAAAAAAACTTGCACTCTGACAGCCCCTGGTTAACTCACAGTTTTTAGATCCTAGAGTCAGTTACAGGATTCACACACATTGCAGAGATGAATCAAGGCCAATCCCTACACACTTCAGTGTTTGACTTCCTCAGGGATGCCTGTAAGCTACACAAGTGCAGTACCAGCACAGCTGAAGGAGCAGAACTTGTGGGCATGTATTTATTTCTGTATCAATATGGCTATAGTGCACTATGAAATTGTAAGTAGCTTTTTAACTTTTATACAAGGTTTTGAATACATAGTGTTGCACTATAAGATTTGCTTCTGTTCTGTCTGTGCTTACTTTAGATTGTGAACAGTTTTAACTCTCCCTGGATTGTCAGAGGACATCTGGATGGTAGTAATTCATCTGATGGTTGCTAGGTTATTATCTTGAGTGCAGCTGACCTTCTGTAATTAAAAGGTCTCTTTCCTTTGGTGAGTTTTTCTTACCATTTAGTGGCGGAAATCATAGCTGAGTTGTTTTGATTTGTGATTCACAGATGTTTTATTCACTTGAAACACTATTATATGTTTTGTTGCTCATTTGTTAAAGTTAAATAAGGGTAAGCATTGTTTTTTTTTCAGGTTATCAATTTTATGCGGCACGATTACTATATGATAATTTTTACATAGTATGTGATATATACGATATATACAGTGGGGATCGAAAGTTTGGGCACCCCAGCTAAAAATTTGTATTAATGTGCATAAAGAAGCCAAGGAAAGATGGAAAAATCTCCAAAAGGCATTAAATTACAGATTAGACATTCTTATAATATGTCAACAAAAGTTAGATTTTATTTCCATCATTTACACTTTCAAAATAGCAGAAAACAAAAAAATGGCGTCTGCAAAAGTTTGGGCACCCTGCAGAGTTAATATCTTGTACTGCTCCCTTTGGCAAGTATCACAGCTTGTAAATGCTTTTTGTAGCCAGCCAAGAGTCTTTCAATTCTTGTTTGAGGTATCTTTGCCCATTCTTCCTTACAAAAGTCTTCCAGTTCTTTGAGATTTCTGGGCTGTCTGTCACGCACTGCTCTTTTAAGGTCTATCCATAGATTTTCAATTATGTTGAGGTCAGGAGATTGTGAAGGCCATGGCAAAACCTTCATTTTACGTCTCTTGATGTAATTCCCCGTGGATTTCGAGGTGTGTTTAGGATCATTATCCATTTGTAGAAGCCATCCTCTCTTTAACTTCAGCTTTTTCACAGATGGCATCAAGTTACCATCCAAAATTTGCTGAAATTTTATTGAATCCATTTTTCCTTCTACTCGTGAGATGTTCCCTGTGCCACTGGCTGCAACACAACCCCAAAGCATGATTGATCCAACCCCATGCTTAACAGTTGGACAGAGGTTCTTTTCATTAAATTCTATGCCCCTTCTTCTCCAAACGTACCTTTGCTCATTCCGGCCAAAAAGTTCAATTTTAACCTCATCGGTCCACAGAACTTGTTTCCAAAATGCATCAGGCTTGTCTATATGTTCATTTGCATAGTTCAAACGAGGATTTTTGTGGTGAGGACGTAGAAGAGGTTTTCTTCTGATGACTCTTCCATGAAGACCATATTTGTACAAGTATCTCTTTATAGTGGAATAGTGTACCACAACTCCAGTGTCTGCCAGATCTTTCTGGAGGGATCGTGCAGTCAAACGTGGGTTTTGAATTGTTTTTCTCACAATCCTGCGAGCTGTTCTGTCTGATATTTTTCTTGGTCTTCCAGATCTTGCTTTAACTTCCACTGTTCCTGATGACTGCCATTTCTTAATTACATTCTGAACAGAGGATATTGCCATCTGAAAACGCTTTGCTATCTTCTTATAGCCTTCTCCAGCTTTGTGAGCGTCAACTATTTTCAGTTTCAGTTTTCTAGACAACTGCTTAAAAGAACCCATGGTGCTGATTGTTGGGGCAAGGTCAGATGAGTCTGGGCATTTAAAACCTTTGAGATTGACATAACCTGGTCTTCCCAGACGATGATTGAGAACAATCCATGACACTGGCAGGTCTCAGCTTGGCAAAGGGGGCAGTACAAGATATTAACTCTGCAGGGTGCCCAAACTTTTGCAGACGCCATTTTTTTGTTTTCTGTTATTTTGAAAGTGTAAATGATGGAAATAAAATCTAACTTTTGTTGACATATTATAAGAATGTCTAATCTGTAATTTGATGCCTTTTGGAGATTTTTCCATCTTTCCTTGGCTTCTTATGCACATTAATACAAATGTTTAGCTAGGGTGCCCAAACTTTCGATCCCCACTGTATATATATATATACTATATTGAGTTGGCCCCCCCCCATTGCAGCTATAACAGCTTCAGCTCTTCAGGAAAAGAAAGTCCACAAGGTTTAGGAGTATGTCTGTGGGAATGTTTGACCATTATTCCAGAAGCCCATTTGTGAGGTCAGGCATTGATGTCGGACAAGAAGGCCTGGCTCACAATTTCTGCTCTAATTCATCCCAAAGGTGTTCTTATGGGTTGAGGTCAGGGCCATCCCCATATTGTTCCCAGAAAGTTGGGAGCATGAAATTGTCCAAAATGTCTTGGTATGCTGACACCTTAAGGTTCCCTTCACTGGAACTAAGGGGCAAAGACCAACCCCTAAAAAACAACCCCACACCATAATCCCCCCTCCACCAAACTTTACACTTGGCACAATGCAGTCAGGCAAGTGCCATTCTCCTGGCAACCGTCAAACCCAGACGCATCCATTGTATTGCCAGACAGAGAAGCTTGATTTGTCACTCCAGAGAACATGTCTCCACCGTTCTAGAGTCCAGTGGTGGCGTGCTTTACACCACTGCATCCAACTCTTTGCATTGCACTTGGTGATGTAAGGCTTGGATGCAGCTGCTCGGCCATGGAAACCCATTCCATGAAGCTCTCTATGCACTGTTGTTGTGCGAATATGAAGGCCACATGAAGTTTAGAGGTCTTTAGCTATTAACTCTGCAGACTGTTGGTGACTTCTGCGCGCTATGCGCTTCAGCATGCGCTGAACCTGCTGTCATTTTTTGTGGTCTACCACTTGGTGGCTGAGTTGCTGTTTTTTCCAGTTGCTACCACTAACAGTTGATAGTGGAATATTTAATAGCAAGGAAATTTCACTTATAGACTTATTGTACAGGTGGCAACCTATTACGGCACCACGCTTGAATTCACTGAGCTCCTGAGAGTGGCCCATTATTTCACAAGGATGGAGCAGTCTGCATGCCTATGCGCTTGATTTTATACACCTGTGGCCATGGGGGTGATTGGAACACTTGAATCCAATGATTTGGAAGGGTGTCCCAGTACTATTGACAATATATATATATATATATATATATATATATAGTTTTCACTTAAACATATTGAGTTGGTGGCATAGTTTTTTTCATATACGCATATCATTGATAGGGGTTGCATACAATCTAAAACATTTCACAGAAAGAACATTGAACCTTTCTTGGTCCCTATATACTAAATGTCAGCATAAGGGTTCAGCAATGGCTTTGTAAAATAATTCTGTATTGGTTCACTGCAAGAATATGAAGGATTCCTTTGCTAATAGCTCCTTTTGAAGAATGCTAGGTCACTAAACAAAGAATAAATATAAAGATACTGTGTGTGGAGTTCTGTCTTATTACAGGTACTTATATAGCACTTTACATTTATGTAAGGCTTTGCACATATATTGTACATTCACTTCAGTCCCTGACCTCAAATAGCTTACAATCTAAGGTCCCTAACTTACATTCATACACATACTGGGGCCAATTAATACAGGAGCCATTTAACCTAACAGCATGTCTTTGAAGTGTGGGAGGAAATCAGAGTACCCAGAGGAAACCCATGCAGGCACAGGGAGAGCATGCAAACACCAGGCAGGTAGTGCCATGGTTGTGATTAAAAACAATGACCCTAGTGCTGCCAGGTGGAAGTGCTATCCATTTAGCCACTGTGCTGCCCAGTCTTCACTTTTACATTCCAATTCACATGATTAATCCAAGTGGGTGGCTCAGAAAGTACTGAAGTCAGAGGCAAGTGCTCAACTAGCATTCTCAGAAGTGGAGTTTTTCTCCCAGTATATACAGTATTTTATTTAACCTCTTCCCATCCGGCCTATGGCTGAATGGCGGCCGGCAAATGCCCTCACCTTTCTGTGTGGGCGCCATATGGCATCCTTTCGGTCTGCGTGCCTGCAGAGCCGTGCAGCGGCGCGATCTGTCACCGGCCATGTACCTCAGACACGGCCCATGACAGATCTGAGTACTGGCCCCGTTGCTGGTACCATGTGACCTGCTGTGACCAATCACAGCAGGTCACATGACAGTTGTAGACAATGGATGGCTTCATTCATGCCAACCATTGTATACTAGTGTGTCTAGCTGTGAATGGTCACAGCGATCACATGCACAAGCTGGGCCAATCACAGCCAGCTGTGTCATGTGATTAGCCGTAGCCAAATCACAGCTAAGCACAAAAAAAAAAAAAAAAACCTGAATCGATGTCATTCAGGTAAATGCTTGCTTGTAGCAAAGTAATTCTTTGCTATAAGCAAATTGTGTAAAAAAAACAAAACAAATACTGATCACTTCCCCAAAGTAGTACAATGTTACTATGGTAACATTGTACTACTTTGGTCATAGTGAAATATGAAAAAAAAAAATCTTAAAAAAAAGAAAAAAATTAAAAAAAAAATTTAAAATAATAATAATAAAAAAAAAAAAATTATATACCATATTTTTCGCTCCATAAGACGCACCTAGCATTTAGAGGCAGAAAACAGGAAAAAAAATATTCTGCACCAATGGACTGCAGACATAGTACAGGAGATGACCAGAGACTGCAGACATAGTACAGAAGATGACCAGAGACTGCAGACATAGTACAGGAGATGACCAGAGACTGTGGACAGTACAGGAGATGACCAGAGACTGCGGGACATAGTACAGGAGATGACCAGAGACTGCAGACATAGTACAGGAGATGACCAGAGACTGTGGACAGTACAGGAGATGACTGCTGACCTTTGGGGAGGGGGGGAGCGGATTCCTGAATTTGACAGGTACCCGCTTTTACTTCCATGGAGTTGTTCTTTGGTTAGTGTCTGCTCTGCGCATGCGCACTTGGCACCTGGCTGTCAAGCCCAGCGCCCACACTACAGAAGCCGGGAAGACAGCGCGCCGCTGGATAGAGGAACAGGTAAGGTCCCGCTGCAGAGCTGAGCGGCCGGCCCGGTATTCTGACACGGCGGCGGTGGAAATACCGGACCGGCCGCTCCATATTCGCTCCATAAGACGCACTGACATTTTCCCCCCTTTTTTTGGGGAAATTGTAAGTGCGTCTTACGGAGCGAAAAATACGGTATATTTTTTTTCATACTGTCACCAGTCAGTGTCCCTGATCACCACCATGCCAGTTATATGATGACGCTGTACTGCACTGGTGACAGTATGTAAAAAAAAAATAGCAAAAATAATTTTTTTAATTTTTTAATTTTACTAAAATTATGACAAAAAAAAAACTTAAAAAAACTCGCCATGCCTCTTATAAAGTACGTCGGACTGTCTATTTGCAAAAAGGGGTCATTTGGGGGATATCTGTACTGTTCTGACATTCTTGGCACTCAAGAACTTAGATTGGCCGTCAGTACTTCAGGATTGATCAATATTCAGATCTATACCATAGTTTGTGAACTCTATAACTTTCCTACAAACTAAAAAATACATCCTAATTTGGGTTATTTTCACCAAAGACATGTAGTAGAATACATCTTGGCCTGAATTTATGAAGAACAATTATTTATTTGCAAACTTTTATAACAGAAACTTTTTGGTCTTATTTTGTTAATTTAGCAAAAAATAAAATCCCCAACGGTGATTAAATATCACCAAAAGAAAGCTCTAGTTGTGTGAAGAAAATGATAAAATTTTAGTTTGGGTACAATGTTGTATGACCGCGCAATTGTCATTCAAACTGTGAGAGCGCTGAAACCTGAAAAATGGCCTGGGCAGGAAGGGGGTAAGAGTGCCCCGTATTGAAATGGTTAAGAAGCAGTGCTGGTCTTACTGGGGGAAGATTTACTAAAACTGGAACACTCAGAATCTGGTGCAGCTGTGCATGGTAGCCAACCAGCTTCTAACTTCTGCTTGTTCAATTAAGCTTTGACGATAAAACCTGAAAGCTGATTGTTTTCTATGCAGAGCTGCACCAGATTTTGCTTGCTCCAGTTTTAGTAAATCTCCACCATTGAGTTTTGCACATCTAGACAACAAAAGTTTTACTAATTCGCTATATAAAGGACTAACATAATCAGTGAGAAAAGCAGGAACTGAGTGGCATGCACCAAAGCAATGCATCAGTACCTGTTCATGATGGTCAGGGCAGCCATCAGGGGGGGACAGCCCATACACCTGTAGGGGGCCCGGGCATTCCGAGGGCCCCGGCCAGGGCTCTCTACTCTGGGCACCTGCCTCGAATATCTTTTGGGGACTGGCGCTGCAATTAACTATCATTTATCTAACAATTATCATTGTGACAGGAAGGTGGGACAGATGATGTCTGCTTGTCAGAACAGCACACCTAAGTGCCAATGGAGCCTAGGCTACTCCCCCATTGTGATCAGACATAGTGATCATTCCAGCAGCCAGGGCACTGAGGGTCCGGGGTCTGTAGAGTGGGGCCCCATGAGCATATAACTGAACCCTCTGTAAGATCTCTAACTCTACTCCCCCATCACCAGTGTGGTGTGCTGAGAGAACTTGGAGGCCATGCACACTGTACCTACTGCCAGCCTGCTGCACTCCAAGCAGGGAGGAGGTGAGCTGAGTTGTTCTGAGGAAAGTCTCCTTGGGTGGAAAGCTGCTAAAGTTTCTGTTAGGATTTGTTTTGTAGGTGATGCAGTGAAGGGTTGGAAGCAGGGGCGGACTGACAACTCATGGGGCCCCCGGGCAATAGGGGATCATGGGGCCACTGTGTCCTTGCCCAAACTCAAAAAAGCCTATGAAAAAGGTACCAGGGGCATCTCATGGGGCCCCCTACTGACCTCGGGCCCTCGGGCAGTGCCCGAGTTTCCAAATGGTCAGTCCGCCCCTGGTTGGAAGAGACAGCAAGAAGGGGGGGGGGGGGTGGCTGACAGATATCTCAGTCCTATCTGTATAAACATCTCCCAGTCTCTCTGTCAGATAATAGGAAGATAATTTATGACCATTCATTTAACCCTGTGTTTATGTGCTAAGGTTACACTATTGATTGCACAGACTTAGAGCTTGGAACAACTCAGGGTTAAATGAGTGGTTATGCCCTAACTTCACATTATCTGGACATACACAGGGTCTGACCTATATACTGTAGATATATATATTTTTACATTTTAGAACTTGAGGTTGTTTTCTTTGAGTAGTACTGTTGTATTATTTTGTTTTGATGTATATATTAGTAGATGAGCACAATAGTTTTTTTCTATTATAAACATCATCGGACCACATCTCAGCCCCCAACTCCCCCCAGCATGTATCACTCCCAGGCCTCTTCATACTTCCAGCTGATGGACATCACTCGGACCATTATCTTCCCAACATCACTTTCTGGTCACTCCACAGACACCACCACTAAAAGAAATCCTTCCCCATCCCACCACTGTCATACCCTCCATACTCCTATACTGTACATAATGGAAGGATTACACTGGACTGGATCAGGGCTGTACTGAGGGTGCAGAATTAATAGAAGAACTACAGAGGGAGGACACTGTGAAGCAGGGCTAATACATATCAGGGAGATGAGACAGGAGGAGAACAACATGTGATGGAGGAGGACATGTGATGGGGAGACCTGGAAGGAGGAGAACATGTAGTGGGGGAGGCCCGAGAGGAGGAGGACATGTGATGGGGGAGATGAGATTGGAAGAAGAGGATGTGGGAGATGAAACTGAAAGAGGAGGACATGGGGTGATGGAGATGGGACTGGAGGAGAAGGAGGACATGGTATGGAGAAATGCATGGAGGAGGAGGAGGAGGACGTGGGATGGTGAAAATGAAACTGGAAAAGGAGATCTTGGGATGGGGGAGGAGGAGGACATGGGATGGAGGAGATGAAACTGGATGAGGAGGACATGGGATGGAGGCTATATTAAGTGGTAAGACTGTTAAAATAAAAGTGAATACACTGAAGAACTTGGGGGATGGCCAGAGGGTGGTTTTGATGGGACAGACAGTGAGCAGGCCCTAACGAATGTTTGTGGTCAGACGGGGGGGGCAGGCCTAAAGCTGTGTAAGGGGCCTCAAAATTTCTGGTGGCTGCCAGGATGATGGTAGAGGGCCTAAACATATAGACCTAACCTGGAGGCAATGATGAAGAGAGGCAGTGTTATCACCTGAGCCAACAACACACATACATACACACTGTGGAGAAAAAGGATTGTGAAAGAGTTTCAGGCTTACCAACTCTTCTCATTGGGTGCATATACACAAATAACAGTTTTTTTTTCTTTATCTGTATCTCCGCAGAAGGGTAATTTTGACAAGCTGTATAAATAAATATATATGTTTTAACACTAACAAACCTAGTGGGTTGTTTTATTAATATTCTTAAAACTAAAAAAATGATCTGGCCAGGGCCTGGTTTACAAAATCCAGTTCTCAAAGAAACCATGTCAGATAGAACAGGAGTGATTGGGCATGAGAGCTGTCACCAGGTGCCGGGTCCTGCACTGCTATTTCCAGCACATGGGCCACTGGGTTGGAGTACAAATGTAAGCAGCTTCCTTTTAAGCACCAGTCACTGAAGAGCACGTTGAACAAACTGTCTCCAGAATACCAAGTTTCCAGTTAAGTGGTCCTATGCCTGCAACCAGTCATCTGTGTATCCTGTCCAGAAACTCCTGCTGTAACTTCCCTGTGAAGCAGGGCTGGGAATGCCATTAGCTGACAACCTAGACTACCAGCTACAGCCAAATTTCTCTGAGAGAGGTGTTATCTACAGGGAAATGCAAGTATCAATTTCCAAGACTGTACTGTGCTGCTACCTAGTGCCTTTAGTGGGAATTTTCTCCCTGTTTTATAATAGTTTAATTTTTCTCATTCTACATTATTCTGTGATTATTGAATACCTCCTACTCATTTTACTCTGTCCATATTATCAATCTATTTAAAAAATGTTGAGTTACAGTAACCCTTTGTCTGATTTTTTTCCAGATTGCACACCATTACAGCAGTGTTATACACAAACATACACATACAAGGGTCAGTATCCGTACAGGTAATTTACTTATAATTGTGTTTGGCTCTGCAATGGATTGAATATTGTCAGAAAAAGCAATGATGTGTCCAAAACAGAGCTAGACTATAGTGCCTCTCTACTTCTGTTTTTGGAACTCTCAAAGGGTCATTGGTTAGAGCTGTGCCATATTCTGTATTTCCTGAAGAAGGAAAAGAAAATCTATTGTAGATGCAATGCAGCTAAAATCTTCAGTTATGCCCTAGGCATTGTTATAAGCTATAGTGACAGATTTATCTCTCCGGAGGTTTATTCAAGCACAGTACTAGGTAGTGTCATGGGAAATGGATGTCCTGTGCAAATACGAGTGCTAAATTGAAATGGAAACAGTCTGCCAGAAATACCCTGGCAGCAGGCACTGGAAATTAAGTTATTTCTGCCAAATTGGTTTAATCGTAATGATGAGAAGATTGAAAACTGTCTCTCAAATATTACAAAGGTTTCCTTTCAAGGTACCTCCTCATGTTACAGCAGCTGGTTTTCTCTTCAGTCAATGACTGAACCAAGTAGAAACCAAGAGTACCATTTAAATAAGGCAACACATATGCCATAAAAAATAGCACACAAAATGCACTTAACCACAAGACACAAATTTGGAATTGGTGAAGGAGAAGCCAACAAATAATTTACAAAGGAGGACTGACACATGAAATACTGTTTAATGTGATAACACACTCCATTGGACAGGTGACTGAATATAGTCCCTTTCATTGAATAGGAACACTGAGTACACCCCAGACAGGGGAAGTACCTTCCTCTTTTCTGTCCCAAAAATGTTAGCTTCTGTACAATTGATTGAGCACAAAGTTTCAACCTCACCAACCGATCTTAAAAGAAAAACCTTTGAAACTTGAATTGACCTTTGCTGTAATTCTTATATATTGAAAAATAATAAATAGTGCTCTACTCACGCAGCATTACTACAAAAACTGTAGTTCTTCATTCTTCAAGGTCAAGCTGATAT